GGTATTTCTGGTTCATGTCATTGGGTCCGAATGTTGATGTTTAAAAAGGGGGTTCGAACTCCAGTCCCATGACCCTGAGAGATGACGAACATGGAGAGTTTCTGATAAGGAGTCTGAAGCCTTGAAACTGCACGTTCTGAAACATTTATCGTGTCCAGTTCATTCCTCATGAATGTCCTCAACACGCTCATAGGAGATGCTGACTGTATTTGCAATGTGATGTGTGGTGAGTTTTGTCAACATTTTCATTAGTGGTGTCAGTTGAAGCTCTTGGATCTTGATCATCTTCGAGGCTCTCTTTTCCCTTTTTAACTTCGCTGCCCACCTCTTAACAGCTGCAAAGGAAGCCGCAGCATCCCCTAAAGTTGTCATCGTCGTTGACAAGTCCGCACAGATGACCGTTTGAGATAACCCTTTCAGTTGGAGATACTTGATGACAGCGCGGTAGCCAATTTTGTCAAATTTCAACAGAGAATACCTGAGTAGACACAATTTTTGCTTGAAAACGGTATTAGGGTCTGTTCCGAAACGTCGCCTTTACAGTATTAAAGAAGTTGTTATCCATAAATTGTGTCTACTTTGTCATCCGCCAACGTCTAAGTAATGCCTGTCAAACAATTCAGAGAATACCTAGTCACTTCGATGTCTACAAAAATATGCTGGTTGTGTATTTGTTTCAAACGCAGCCTGTAGGCATGGAAAGTGTTGTATTAAATACATGCTAAGTGTTAAGGGTGAACCATACATCCTTCGTAGTTAGGATCCACTTTTCAGTTGTGTTCTCCTGGGTAAATGTAATAACGCTCCTGACGGACGTTTTCCCCGGAGATGAAATCACTGATATGGACACGTCATTCTGCATGGCACACATTACGGGGGGACATTCCTGGATAGCGTGCCATGTCCTATTTACTCACTGTCGTGGCCGTAGTTCATTCACGGTTACACTTGCAATCACTGTCACGCACAACCCGTCACAGTTGCTGCCTGGACTGGTGTGTCTGTAGCAGCTTTGGCGACTGTGTTGTCACTTCCATAGCTGGACCCAACCCCATGATATATTACTAGAAGCGGCGTAAAACCACACTCACTCAGTCACTGTTCTGTTCTTTGTTGGTGTTTTGAAAAAGAGATGTTCTCTCTTTTACAATAATGTGTAGGTCATTGTACTTATCAGCTGGTATCTGCATTCGCCCGGTGCTGCATCAATACGATATGCAGTATACCTTCACGAATACGCATGGGAAAGGCGGTTGTCTGATAGGGTATACAGGCATATCTTCACTCATACTCCTGTGATATAGTTTGTCCTATGATTTGCGTTTGACCAGAATAAGACGTGAATTTAGTTAATCCTAAAATATATCAAATAGTTATGCCTTTATAAAATCTCAAAAATAGTGTAATCTTTAAAGTAATGTATCACCGAACGGAGACATTTACTACTATAATTGATACATCTTGTAGCACTGGCATGGTGCTGATCACAATCGGGATGAAAGTGAGATTCGAACCCATTACTGGTGAGTCCTGAAAATAAAGGGACAAAATCCTTTCCATATTCAAAAGAAATCTCTTCTATAAATGTCGATTGTACTATTTCGGCTACATCATAAGCATCACGCCAGAAACCTGATTGTGGGTTCGAATCCCGGTTCGCCCCGATTATGTTTCTTGGTTTGTCAGCACCATACCCGTGTTCGTGGGTTTCCTCCCACCTTAAGCTGACACGCCGTGATATAACTGGAATACTGTTAAAAGCGGCGTTAAACCCAACTCACTCACTCACTCACCCATTTACCTTCAATGATCCGCTAATCTTGTGTTCGAATCCCATATTCTCTGCCAGTAGCGACAACTGAACCATACCAGTGCTCGTGGCTTTCACCTGAATGGTAAACGTCTATTACACGTGCCACTTTCTCCCACATCAAGCTGACACGCCGTGATATTACTGACATACTGTTAACATCTGCATCATATCAAACCCGCGTCGGGGGCACGGGTGGCCCAGTCGTTTAAGGCGCCGCGATTCGCTGTGCAGAGTTGCGTCCCCTGGACACGCCAGAAACCTATGATTGTGGGTTCGAATCCCGGTTCACCCCGATTATGTTTCTAGGTTTGTCAGCACCATACCCGTGCTCGTGGGTTTCACCGAAGTGGTTAACGTCTGAGACCTGCATCACTTCGGGCTTTCCTCCCACATTAAGCTGACACGCCGTGATATAACTGGAATAATGTTAAATGCGGCGTTAAACCCAACTCACTCACTCACTCACTCAAACCTGTGTCTGTCAATAATATTGTGTGCAGATATTACATCATTACCCCGTTGTGGACCCGGGTGGCCGATTCGTCTAAGGTGTCACAATTCGCTGTGCATAGTTACGTCCCTTAGATGTGATGGAAATATATGATCGTGGGTTCGAATCCTAGATTCGCCCTGGTTATGTTTCTAGGTTTGTCAGCACCATACCCATGCGTGATGGGTTCACAAAAATGATAAACGTAATTGAACTGTGTCACTTTAGACCTTCCTCCCAGTTGACACGCTGTGATGTAACTGGATAGTATTCAAAGCGGCGTTAACTAACTAACCCATAACGTCAAACAAAGGGGCTAAAACCTCGCTCAGCTCATCATGAAATACCAGGTCAAGGTGACAATACTTTGTGGCGAGGTGTCGTTCCATCTACCAGCGTCACGTGTTATGTTGATTTCAGCAAGCGACATGCAATATACATTATATCACACCCCACAGAGACAGTGCACCACGTGCATCGAGTGATATATACAGCATGTGAAGGTTGTAGCCAGATCACATAACGGTTCTCAGGGACAGCTGTCACAATGGGGCAATTTACTCGGTCAACTTGCCCTAGCGTTTTCAAGTTTGCAGTGCGATTTTGTGTGGCTGCATCTACCCTATTGTTCGTGTTACGAGTCTTTACCTATTTTAGACCTTCTAGTATGATTCAATATTTTGATGTGTTTAATTTAGTTAAATTGAGTTACAAAATTGAACCAATATTATTGTAAGGATATGGGCCAATTGGCTTTGAAAAGAAACACTGATTACAAATGTGATTGAGTTTCTGTGTCAGAGTGTACCTCTTACATCGATATGAACACGTATTGTGGATGGGTTGAGCGTGGTGGCTATATACGTAGTTCAGGGTTTTTCCTATACATACGGGGCGTTTGGGTGGCATAGTGATTAAAGCGTTCGCTCTTCACGCCGAAGGCCCGGGTTCCGAAAGCCCATTTCTGGAGTCCATCGCCGTGATATTGCTGGAATATTGCTGAAAGCGGGGTTAAACCATACTCACTCACTCACTCGTAGACATGCGTTTATAAAGACTGTCCACGGATGGAGAAATGTAGGTGGACAATTGTCTATGTTCGTAACATCTGCAGCATTGCGCGGGGATTCCGGATTAGCATAGGTCCCTAGCAACCTGTGTTGTTAGTAAGAGGCGACCTAATGGATCGGGGCTCAGGCTTGGTGACTTGGTTGATTACTTGTCATCGTACCCCGACAACGTGAATCGTTGCTCATGATATCAATCACTGGATTGTGTTATCCAGATTCGATCATTCACAGGCCGACGTCATATACCTGAAAAGTTGCCGAGTGCGGCGTTAAACAACAAACAAACAATCAATAAGAAAAGAAATATACCTGTTGCATATGTTTGGCATTCGTATTTGACACCGAGTAACGTATTTCGTTTTGATGAAATAGCCCTTGACACCATGTATAGTTATAATAGATCCGTGATGATCCGGGGTAGAATAGGTCTTCAGTAACCCATGCTTGCCGTAAAAAAGGCGACTATGCGTGTCATGAGAGGCGACTAACGGGATCGGGTGGTCAGGCTCGCTGACTTGGTTGATACATGTCATCGATCCCAATTGCGTGGATCGATGCTCATGATGTCAATCACTGGAATGTCTGGTCCAGACTCGATTATTGACAGACCGGCGTCATATAGCTGAAATTGAAATATTGCTGAGTGCGGCGTTAAATAACAAACAAACAAACAAATTAATAGTCATATCTATTTTGTCCACTGGTTTTCTTGTTTCTTCTTAACCTTCATATGATAGATATTTTCACGGACGGATTAATATATATATATATATATATAATTATATATATATATGTGTCACTTCATGTCCGTTATTCAGTTATGGCCTGATGAGACTCGTACGTGGTACGAGTTGAAAGCGCTAGCCTATTAAAACTGTGTTCAATCTTACTCCACTTATTTAATTATTACTATATATATATATATATATATATATATATATATATATATATATATATATATGGAAATACGCGTATAGTTCCAACAGAGGATAGACTGCGCACATAGGATGAAGTTAGAGAAGCACCCTACAATCACCCACCTGTCTTTCATATAAGGGCTACACAATAAACAGTCATGCTTCAAACTACAAAAAAAAAAACCAAAACCAAAACAATGGTTTCATTGTTTAAAAATCTATGATTCTCACTTTTCAAACAACGAAGTAGTCTCCCTTTGCTTTAGGGGCAAAATCTTCCCATGAAATTACGTTTTCCGTGTTACGTTTAAGAAATGTTTATGTTTCTGAATTAATATTCTAAACAAAACAGTCATATATACTCGGGTCACAGGGGTGATTGTTTACACACTACCTGATATTTCCGCACGTCTATTCCTAGCTTGTGTCGCGACCCCGCGTATTCTCCCCCCCCCCCCCCCCCCCTTACAGTAATGTCTCAGGCACGATGAAGGCACAAACGATAACAACCACTCACAGAGCCGTAACGTAGTTTTTCCTTTGCTTCATTCAAACCATATTTTAATGTTTCCCATGTATTTACTCACGACATTTCCCGTCGCGGGACTTAGGATGTTCAACCCCCGTTGTCGGAAGTCGACCATATGCCTCGCACGTGTTACCTACTGGGCCACCTACCGGCACGCCCTCTAGCGGCCATACAGTCATACTCTCGTTCTCACGACTCTGAATTGAGAGGGCTACTTACGTCGTCATGCGATACGAGAAACAGTACTACTACCAATTACAGACTGTTTAAGGGAAGGCATTGGTATAATTGGATGTTTTAGTGGGAAATCTTACACCGCTAGTGGTCATCGCTGAACGTTTAAGACTTTGTACATGACTGCTTACCCTGGAACAAGAAACATCAGTAGTGTTTGGCTTGGCTATTGTAAAGTTGCACACAGTGCATATAATACGCATTATTCCTGTCTATTATGGAAGCAGGAAATAACCGTCTATTGATATTATAATATAGCTTCTATTGTGGTTGGATACGGGACTGTTGCATGGTATCAATGTGCATTTTTTATGTGATCACCGTGCAGGTGTTGACGCTGTCGCGGTGTGTTGAAGGTGAAGACGGTGCTGTCGCGGTGTGTTGGAGTTGAAGACGTCCGTGTCATCAGGTACGAACTGTCACCTGAGACTGTTCAATTGCCCTTGCAAAACCGCCGGACGTAGTGGCCGACTTAACTTCAAGCCTTGTGTTGAAACGGTGTTCTTTTCACCACTTGACCTGTCAGTCACTGCCACAGGCACATTGACATAGTGTACATAACGACATGTAGGGTGTGTCTATTTCATGTTTGTGTCATGTGTATATCTGTACATGTCGTTTCACATTGAACACGAAGACGCAGGACCACAACGCACACCTGTCGGATCGTAACTGTAATACCTGTTAATAAGGAACCTGGATAATACGGACACGAGCTGAACACATTTAAGGACGATTTACCAACCGGAACGTGTTCGGTCACACCACGTGTGTGTTTTATACGTGTAAACAAAACCCATCCATAACACGGATATAGCGACACTGAGAGGCCAGTGCACTTATTCTCCGGACCTGTCACCAGTTTCAACCTGTATACAAAACACCTTGGTTATACGGACACTGCTTTTAAAATGGAGAAACGGCATTCGAAATCTCGATTGTCACGTAGTTTGTCGTTTCTACGTAGATCCAAGCATGAAGGTAAGTTAGCGCATGTCTAGTTAAGGAGACGCATTTCTTTAGTGTGTACATTACAGGACGAACCACGATCGAGAGATGAAATCGAACCAGGCATTTCTATGTGAATATCAGCCATTGTTCGAATCTGTTTAAATAGGTTTCGATTTCCCTGTCTATTCTGATATGCTGTGTTATTCAACACGCATTAATCATTCCTCGAGCTGGTCCTCACCTGTTTAAGTGTTGCGTCAACAAATACATCGTCCGCCATAACTGGCGTGTTTGATGCATGGTATTTGACACGCGGTCACAACTCACAGCCGAACTCTTTGCGGAGAATGTAAACAAACCTCACGTCAAGGATCATAGCACTCTTGAAAAAAATGTTTACAGAATTTGTGGCGCGGTGCAAAGAAATAGATAAATACGTGGAAAAGTTTCAAGCCACCAGTTTAAGCACTGAAGAGGATGTAGAATCGATTTCTGGGGTGGCATGCTAGTCAAGTGATGTGGTGAATTCGCATGCATGTGCATAACAAGTGAGGAAGACAATATCGTCTTTGAACCATCGCTATTGTGTCCATTATCTTGTATTGTGTGTATGTGTGTGTTTGTGTGTGTGTGTGTGTGTGTGTGTGTGTGTGTGTGTGTGTGTGTGTGTGTGTGTGTGTTTTGAACATTTAGTGCCAGAGTATCTTATTAACTTATCTTATTATCTTAGTTTAAAATGTATATCTTCAAAATTAATTGCAAACGAGGCCCAAAACAATGCTTAATGAAAGCGCTCAGGCAGTCGAGACAACTAATTCTAACTTGAGTTGGAATCGTTTTTTAAATTGTGTGTGTGTGTGTGTGTGTGTGTGTGTGTGTGTGTGTGTTATATCGACAGTACGATGTCATATCGACGGTAAAATGTCATATCGACAGTATACGATAGTACATTGACAGTACGACAGTATGGTGTTATATCTACGGTACGATGTTTTTTATTGACAGTACCATATTATATCGACAGTATTAAGTTATAACGAAAGTATGATGTCATATCGACAGTATGATGATATATCGACAGTAAGATGTTATTTCGACAGTATGTTATATCGACAGTACGATGTCATATCGACAGGGCGATATTATATCTACAGTACGATATTATATCGACAGTCCGAAGTTATATCGACATTATGAAGTCATATCGACAGTATGATATTATATCCACAGCACGATATTTTATCGGCTGTACGATGTTGTATATAGACAGTACGATATTATATCGACAGTATGATGTTACATCGAATGTATGGTGTTATATCGACAGTATGATGATATATCGACAGTACGATGTTATGCCGACAGTATGGAACTACAGATTACTCGATATTTGTACATTCCCGAAGAACGAAGCGAGGTGTAACTGTGTCGTCAGATGGCGTTAAACATATCAGCAATAATCCCCACACGTAACCTTTTATGAAATAAGATCGATATATTTCACATATAGATGTGAATAATGTTAATAACCAGAGACTGAAATCTTATTAAAATGTACAAATACGATAAAAGATAATTATATTCCCAAAAAATAAGACCACAAGTGGGTCCGGTAAAAACCTCCGGATAAAGTATATTAAGGTAATGCATGTCCTTAAAATCCGGAACCCGTTCTGGCTCGTTTGTTCCAAACTCCCCATTACGCCACGAAAAGCCGGAAACAATTATGCTTAACTGCACGTAGACAGATGTGTTTAGGTTAGAAAAACAGTCGACGGATGCCGTGGTCTCTTGTTCTGGTACATATAGAATGTAATATACATGCACGGTGATTATCTCAATTTATCTGTAAATGTAAATATGAAGATAATTGCTTCTGTGGCTAACATTCCGAGGAAGAGTTTCGATGATAGGTGTCACCGTGTGCTTGTCGTCACACGCTCCTATAGATGTACTTGCTTTCAGGATTTGTATATGATTTGACTTGATATTCAGCAATGCTACATTCTGTATCTGAATATGGATCCGTTATCTAGTCGGAATCCCGAAAATGTTTCCATTAATCTCATTCAACGCTACAATCAAGCGCGCCCCGTCTACTGTTGTTTGATAAATGGCAGGAGAAGCAACTGTTGAGAGCATGGCTTGTCTTGCGTGATTACGTACCTCGTGTTATGCGTCGGAATTTAGCATTAGCGGGAAAACGCTGAAACTTTCTTTCTTTTTCCACCCCACTGTTATCTTACCCCGACATTTTGTTGTTGTGTCGGGCTTGAAGGGCGACATCTGTCAGGAAACCGAACGTGAAGTTGAAAGGGAGTTAATCGTGTTCTTGCAACAGTAACACATGCTTGTGTTGATAGGTGAATTCCTGACCCCCGACCTTCATGTTGGGCCCCTAGGGTGCAGTCAGCTGTGAGAGAATGCTGTCCAATAATCGGAAGTCTGAGTTTCTGTGTAGGAAATGTAGATTGTGTCGTACTATGGTATTCTTTAATTACGATGCACTCCAGAAGAAAATCTTAACCTGAAACCGGGAGTGGCTCGTGTGATAGATTTACAATTTATCCATAAAAGCACCGTGAGGGATTCCACGTTAGTTTGTCTCACAGTCCCTGAACAATATTAAGATAAGATATATTTAGTGCAAACATTTACTTCCGTTTGTTTTACATTGTCCAGTCTTGTTTTAGACATAGACTATTATGTTCCCTCCCGTCCTGCCATTGCTGTAATGTTATAGGTATAAAGGAAGCAAGTCTAGATATCCCATCTCACATTTACTTTCGTCTGTTTTACATTGTCCAGTCTTGTTTTAGACATAGACTATTATGTTCCCTCCCGTCCTGCCATTGCTGTAATGTTATGGTATAAAGGAAGCAAGTCTAGATCTCCCATCTCACATTTACTTTCGTCTGTTTTACATTGTCCAGTCTTGTTTTAGATATAGACTATTATATTCCCTTCCGCTCTGCCATTGCTGTAATGTTATAGGTATAGATGAAGCAAGTCTAAATCTCCCATCTCACATTTACTTTCGTCTGTTTTACATTGTCCAGTCTTGTTTTAGATATAGACTATTATATTCCCTTCCGCTCTGCCATTGCTGTAATGTTATAGGTATAGATGAAGCAAGTCTAGATATCCTATCTCACATTTACTTTCGTCTGTTTTACATTGTCCAGTCTTGTTTTAGATATAGACTATTATATTCCCTTCCGCTCTGCCATTGCTGTAATGTTATAGGTATAGATGAAGCAAGTCTAGATCTCCCATCTCACTGGGGCTCCTTATCAGTTTAAATGTATTTATATTTTCAGAGACTAAGTAAGTCTAATTTCACGCGTGTATCTTCAGGTTTGTTTCTGCTCTTAGGAATTCCACAATGTAGACACACACGTGCTAGGCTATCACGCAGATAATGCGAATTTAAATGGACGCCTAAGATGACGGAATTCCTAGCAGGTTTGTGTCCAATAGTCTTTCCAGGATCAGCTGATTTCGATCCTTGGTTTGTGAGCACCATACCATGTTCTTCTATCGATATTTCCCCTGTGTCGATAAGTGACGTGTATAGATATGTGACCTGGGTCGATATGTGACCTCTATCGATATGTAACCTGTATCGATATGTGACCTGTGTCGATATGTACCCTGTTGCGATAGGTGACCTGTATAGAAGTGGGACCTGTGTCGAAATGGGACCTGTATCGATATGTGACCTGTATCGATATGTGTGACCTGTGTCGATATGGGACCTGTATCGATATGTGAAATGAATTGACACACGATAATGTATTTGTAGCACACATTATCTCAAAACGCGGGTACTCATTTTTGCAATACGTGTAATTTGTCCCGGTACACTAATAAACAGAATAATAAGCACCCACTGGATGTAAACTTGAAACATCCGAAACGATTTCAGACAGTTTTGTTTCAGAACATAACAATTAACACTGCGGCCTTTTTGCTGTTATGTCCAGAAAACAACTTCCTTGCGATACTGTTAGAAGCTACTTTATATAACTAAAGAATAATTACGCCCTTGATTTGAGAATCCGGATCAAGACACATAGAACAGTAACTGGGGATTTATCGTATCTCAGTTTATCGCACAATCTCATGAACGGGCAAAACGTAATAGTCCTGATGGTGCCACAGGTTGTCAGTTATCTCCCTTGAACCTCGGCCTTGATTCTTATCCGTCTTGTCCAGTGGTCAATGACACATGACCAGACCAGCCGCCAGGACGACCGCCTTCTCTGTGATTTATATCACTACCCTATACTCTCACACTAGTCACTGAATCTCGCAGACACATGATGATACTCGTGACCACGATAACAAAGCGTATCAAGATGGCGGACGTCACTTAAAGATGGCGGCCACGACGAGGCCGCTGTTTATCCTTTTGCGTGTTGGTGAAATGTTTGGTGGCTGGACTATCATTACAGCGAGACAATGGATCGTGCTGATATCGTAGTGGTGAATCATACACGATTAGATTTCAAAACACGTATACTTTACCGAGCTGGGGAGTTAATGCCATGGATATGGTGGTTTACTTTGACAAGCGCAATAAACAATAAACACAACGTGTAATTGTATCATATATGAAAACATACATAATTAACGGTTTTAGACGTGAGTTTACTGATGAAAGTAAACAGTGTTCGATGAAAATAACAAAGAACTCTTTCAAGTAGGGCGGATGGTGATGTACATGGATGTGTTTCTCGTCATGGGGGCGGAAAGATAACAATCCGCTTCGATTTCTCATGTGGGTATTATTCACGTGAGGCTCATTTTTAGTGTTCCCAACGTAGCTGGAGAGCGGCTTAAAACACAACTCACTAACACACTCTTCCGAAAACGACTGTATGAAGCAAGAATTCTGGCTCTAAGTTAAACCGTATATACTGAACCGAAAAAGTTGGAGATCGTGAATATTTTGGGGATATGTTTTTTGGTAGTTAAGACTGACCACACGCTTGCATACCCCCCCCCCCCCCCCCCCCAAAAAAAAA